TTTAAACATGGCCCTGTCATATAAATTCGAAGAAAAATTGTTGTTTTGTAGATTTTTTGATTTTTTTCATTAACCCATTGCTTCATGAGCATTTTGTGAAAAATGGCTGTTTTCATTGAAAAGTCTCTCGTTACAAGTTCAAATTGCTATAAACTATAAAAACTGCTTCAACACTAATCAAACTTGGCACAAATGTTGACTGGACCATTGCCCTTGCAACAACATGCTCAGGCTTAAATTTTCTGTTACCATGGCAACGAGGGGACATCTCAAAATTGCCAAAAATCACTATTTTGCGTTGATTTTTTCCATCATAATTGATTTCAAAGTGCTGCAACTTCTCAATGGATTGAGATAGAGTCAAATGCTTTTTCAGCGTTGGTTTACACGTTACCTTATGATCAATCTGAGGTCATTTATAGCCTCTCACAAGTCCAAAATTTTCTTGGCGATGAGGGGGACTCCGCCCCCTTCAAACCCCCCAAACAGAAGGGGCACATCCCCCTTCTGGCAACCCCTGATGTATCTTTTGGTTGGGGGGCCGCGCCGAAAAAGTGGTCACTTTTTTTAACAACATTTCTCAAACAAAAACAAGTGTTGGGGGCCTGAATAAGGCATTTTGGACACCATTTGAGACAACAAAAAGGGGGGGGGTGAAAAGGCGTTAAAAGGCGTGTATATGAAGTAATGGGTTAAAAGAAGATTTTTTAAGTTTTTACTTTATGCATATAGGGAAAATCAATGACCCCCTGGGGCGGTGCCAATTTGGACCCCAGGGCTTTTATTTGAACATACTTGGTAGACACCCATTAGAAAATGTTTCATGCCAAATATCTAAGCTCTAGCTCTTCTGGTTCTTTAAAAGGAGATTTTTTAAGTTTTTACTATATGCATATAGGGAAAATCAATTATACCCCTAGGCGGGGCCAATTTTGACCCCAGGGCTTTTAATTTGAACAAACTTGGTAGACATTCACTAGAAGATGTTTTCATGCCAAATATTAAGCTCTAGCTCTTACAGTTTTCTTTAAAAGAAGATTTTTAAATTTTTACTTTATGCATATAGGGAAAATCAATGACCCCCCGGGGCAGGGCCAATTTTGACCCCAGGGCTTTTATTTGAACAAACTTGGTAGACACTCACTAGAAGATGTTCCATGCCAAATATCTTAGCTCTAGCTCTTACAGTTCTTTAAAAGAAGATTTTTTAAGTTTTTACTATATGCATATAGGGAAAAATCAATGACCCCCCGGGGCGGTGCCAATTTTGACCCCAGGGCTTTTATTTGAACAAACTTGGTAGACACTCATTAGAAGATGTTTCATGCCAAATATCTAAGCTCTAGCTCTTAGGGTTGTTTAAGGGAAGATATTTAAAGATTTTTCTTTCGGTTGCCATGGCAACCAGAGTTCTGCATGGAATTAAATTCTTTGAACAATTTTTAAAGGTGACCACCAAAGGAACATTCCTGTGAAGTTTGGATGAAATTGGCTCAGTGGTTTATGAGGAGATGTCATTTAAAGCAAAAGTTTACGGACGACGGACGGACGGACGGACGGACGGACGAAAAGCGATCACAAAAGCTCACCCTGTCACTTTGTGACAGGTGAGCTAAAAAATATTGACAGAAACTACAATACACACGAAAGATGACCCAGTCAGCTGCTACACGCGATTTAGTATGTATTTTAGTCAATAACGTGAGTAATTAGGGGTGATTATTTTATGATAATTTGACCATGATTGGCATGGCAAGTCTGTGCCATACGCCTGTGCAAAACAACTGTAACTGGTATTACATATTGAAGGAGTTACTTCCGTTTTGCACCAATCCATCATTATGTATGAAGTCTGACTTAGCTCTATTCAGGTGGCTGCTCAATATCAATATTATCAATATTATCATACAAAACACCCCTTAAACTATTAATGGAACATTCCAAATCCTGAGCTTGGTTTCTTTGTTTGTTTGTTTGTTTGTTTATTGGGTTTTAAGTCACACTGACACAGTATAGGTCATTTGGCGCGGTTCCAGCTTTACTGGTAGAGGAAGACCTCAGGTGCCCTTCCTAAGTTATTTCAAGCACAAACAACCACCAATGTTCCGTAAGCTAGCTGGTTAGCTTCCTCACATGAAAAAATCCAAAGTCCCTGTTGGGATTTGAACCCACAGCGGTGAGGGACAAGTGGTTTGAAGTCAATGACCTAAACCATTCGGCCACAGACGCCCCTTCAAAGCTTGGTATGTCCATTATAGAAATTCAGTGGGATGAGGGTCAAACACATTTTTTCCTTATGTCTATATATAGAAACAACAATACAGCAATAATTTTTGACCATCTACATTGAAATAAGAACACATAAAATAAGCATCATATAAAATTTTAAAAAAATTACCAGTTGTAATAAAAATCCATCTTTTCAAAAATCGAACACTATTAAAATACCAAATATTTTTCTATAATTATGAATGAATGTTGCACTCTTCTGATTATCTTAACTAACACAATCAAATATATATCTATCTACATACATTATGACAGGTAAATATGTATTTAATAAACTTGTGAAATATCTATTTAGATTAAGTGTACAGGTCAGTTTAGATACTGGGATATGGGCCGGCTATACTCAATATAGTGAAGTTGGTATTTTTATAATTTTTATCATCATACACAGAAGCTGGCGACATGGGTTAATCATAACGCACCAAATGACCTTTTCTTGTTGTTTGTTTTAAAATAAGTTTTGGCATCTAATCAATCAAGCTCTTTAATAATAATAACAAGATGGCTTATTATCAATCAATTAGAAATCAATCAGTCCTAATTAAATGTCACTTGAAATGCTAGAAGGAAAAAAAAATACATATAATTATATATTTGAGTTTTCAGCTCATCAACATCAACATTGGTTAAAGCAGCACGCCTCCAGATTCATGCTAATTTTTATGAAAAGTTGGAAAATGTATCTAAAAAGTAAAATATTGTGAAGTGAACAAAGAAAATAATTTTCACATTGCAAACAGCACTTACAACCCATGTAACTTACCAAAATGAGGTAAAAGTATGCAAAAATAGCCTTTACTGTGTTAGTAAACACAGTAGAATATGGTGAAAAATACTGAAAAATCAGCCATTATAAAAGCGCACATAACATGGAAATTATTACTTTTATCTTTAATCTTTTCTTAAAATCTTAAAATCTCAACACTTTTTTCTCAAAATTGATTTTCTTGAAATATTTTGGTTCATCTGGAAGCATGCAGCTTTAATATCAAAGGCCACTTTTCAGCTAAAAATGGTCTCCGACCATAGGTGGCGGCATCGCAGAGTAGCTAACTTGTCAGACTTGTAATTTAAGGATTGCTGGCTGCTTAGGTTCAAACCCTGACAAGCCGTTGTTTTTATTGAGCAAGAAAAATACTATCATATTGCTTTGGACTGGTTAGTTCATGGGACAGACTGTGTCTTTAAGTTAATAGCTGTCTACACAATGGAACTGAAACAAATTCTACATAAAGAAAAAATACCACAGGAGCATTTATTTCTGGGACAAGTGAGCACCCAAAAAGATTTACCACCAACCTAAGTAATACCAAGTCAACAAGTTGCGTAACTTCCTCACATGATAGAATTCAAAGTACCTGGCAGAGGCATGTGACATCTATATCCAAATTAATTCATTTCATTATATCACATAATATATTAATATAAGAATTTTTTTTCTTCAAGTAACTATATATGTACAAATCAATTTTTCAAATCTGTAAATTACTGAATGCAATTAATCAATCAATCAATCAATCAAATTAATGAAAAGATCATTTTAAACCTTAATTGATCGGCTTACATCATTCATTTTGAATCCTTTTTGGTCGAGTTTTAAGTCGCACCAAAATAGTAGAGGTCGTATGGTTTACTACTGAAGGAGACTTCAAGTGCCCCTCTGCGCATTCTTTAAGGCTCAAAGGTGCCACCTGAGTGTAACCACTGATGTCCAGTAAGCTATCTAGATTATAAACTTCCTGACATGAAAGAATTATAAGGCCCTCAAGGGATTTGAACACACAGAGGTGAATGGCAAATGTTTGAAGTCAGCAACGTTAACCACTAGGCTATGGACGCCCCAACTACATAGTTTATAAAGAAAATAATGCACGGTCACACTTGACTGACGTAGAAATCATGAATACTGAGCATATTATATGCGCTTTAAAAAAAGTCTTTTCAAACTTTGTAACATCGCTTCTCATTGGATAATCATGAAGTCTATATTGTTTTATATCATAAGTCATGGTGCTGTCAATCTATGAAACAATCTCATTTGTTTTTTCAAAAAAAGAAAGTTTGCTGTATTATAAATTTATTATAAATATTCCTGACAGGTTATATAACCATATATTATAATCGGTTGTTTGCAATATAACCCTCATCTAGTGGCTCAGGTTAAATTTCCAAACAACCAATTATATAGAGCCAATATACATAATGTATAAACTGTCAAAAATCTTTATAAATAATTATTATATCACCTAGGTAACTTTATATATGAAAACAATGTATATATACTACCTTACAACACTCACAGTGTTGAGATTTCTGATAAATGTATATCCACTTTTATCAAACTATAATAATATCCATAAAAATCAAACTATAATAATATCCATAAAAATATATCTGAAAACTTTTGATATAATCCAAACAGTCAAGTGCTCCTTCTTACTATTTTTTATTCACTCCAGTGTTAAGTCACCAGTAAATCAAAATCTATTGCAGCCTATCATTTTTTTCCTAGTATCAGGATGAATATAAAAAAAACACATCTATCATATTTTAGAATCAAACAGAGCAAAACCTGTACCACCTGGGATAGAGTAAGTACAGCACAGAAACAATAAAAAGAGATCTAAACAGACATGGAGCAATTTAATGCCCCATTCTAGTAATTTTCCTGTCTTGAATTTCCTCCCACTGTAATTAAATAAATTGCCTACCTCCCGAAATTGGCCGAAATTGTGCCCTAGGGCAGAAGGTTCAACTGTTTCCCCTATGATACACCAAAAATTATTTAATGAAAAATAAAAAGATTACACAAAAATAAGCTTATTGCAGTAAATGCTCCACAGGTGTGAGAAAAATTACGATAGAAAATGCTGTAAACTTGGTATATTTCATGGGGTCTTTCTTTTTATAATTACGTTTTAAAAGAATGGTAAATTTAAATTGTCATGGCCGTTTGGCTATCAAAGTAAATTTAAACTGACAACTTAGCATGGTCAATCATTTTCAAGCTGTCAAAATAGTTTTCCTTTGAAAATACATTCTTAAAATGTAGAGAATTAAGGTAAACAACTTAGCAAAACCTTATAATCCACAATACTAGATAAAATATGTGCATTGATCGATAATAATACAATTTCACTCACTACAATAATTTTTCATTAAAATAATTTTTAATCAAATTCGTATTTAGTTAAATAATATTTATTTATAATCTATTCATTTCAATAATATGGAATGTGAAATAAAATTTACGGATTGAGTGGTTCAAGCTTGTAAAGCTTTTTATTTGTATAATTAACTTTAGGAAAAGTATGATGTGCATATTTTTATCAATATTTTATATTATCCGAAAAGCTTAGTTATGGCAGTGTAATAGTATTCTTTCATGGAAGAACCATAAAAGTCAAGCTAAAAAAATTAACTTTTCAAAAAAAAAAACAATACATAGCTATTAGCAAAGAAATAATCAAATTTTTTTTAAATTATTTTAAAACTCAAAAGTAAAGTCTTCACAATTCCAAAACTAGGCCATTCTTTAATTATTTTTACTCTTTTTTTATTCTCCAAACGTATCCAGTGTTTGGTGTTTATCATACCCACTTATAATAAATATTTTCAAATTCTTTCTTCACAAAACTGTTACATAATTTTCATATTTTACAGTACCTGTTGTATAAAAAAAAACCTGGAAAATTATTTTGAGAAAAAGACCCAGAGTAAATATTGCCTTATCTGATACAAGCCTGTCAAAAATCTGATAAAAAATATTGGAAACATAGATTTAATACCACAGATCAGCCCTGTGTGAGATCTTATCATTTTTTTTCTGGATGAAAATTTGTTTCTTCTATTTTCAAAAGGTTAGGCTGGCAGGTGGAAATTATTGTTTCAAGTTTGTATTTATATCTGATTCTGTTAGCTTTTTTCCCCTAGTTTTTACCTTTGTGGTTATTCAGTTATTCAGTAAGTCTAAGCAGGCCCCCCCTTGTGGCTGAGGGGTTTCCAAGAGAACGTGACTTCCAATATAGTTTATTATTCATTTTTTATTTAAATTAGACACATTCAGTAAGAATTTCATAGGTTTTAATAAATTTCTGTGATTAAAATATTTTACTCAAAGATGAGCATAGTATATCTTTAAGGGTTGAGGCATAAGATTTGCAGCCACAGTTTATGCTAGAGTGATTGTGTTAAGAGGCAATTAAATGGGTTCAAATTACTTGAGTCCAATTGCATCTCTCTAATAGCTCCAGCAGGTGAGATGGTTTTGACCCCTGCCATGGTGTTGCTTAAAAGTTTGTAACACCTGAGGTTATGCAGCCAAAATCACCTTTCCTGTTTTGGCGCAATATGACCTAAATTGTGTTGGGACTGCATGTGCCATAAAACCTAATGAAACACTAGAACTCCGCGAGTCGGATGTGTCGCCTTGTGAACAAAAATGAAATATGAAAATAACAAAGGGCAATAACTAAAAAAATAATAAGTGCAGAGCAGCAGTTTCTCTGCACTTCACTTCTTATCAATAAGATCTATCATTCTATGATGTTTCAAGTCCATAGCTTTCATACTGAATAGGACAAAAATAAAGTAAGAAAATCAACAAAGGGCAATAACTCAAAAAATAAGAAATGCAGAGTATCAGTTCTTATGCACTGCACTTTTTCTTAATGAGATCTATCAACCTATGAAGTTTCAAGTCCATATCTTTTATACTTTCGGAGAAATGGCCTGGACAAAAATTAAGTATGAAAATTAACAAAGGGCCATAACTCAAAAATTAAGAAAAGCAGAGTACCGATTCTTGTGCACTGCACTTCTTCTTAATGAGATCTATCATCCTATGAAGTTTCAAGTCCATAGCTTTTATACTTAAGGAGAAATGGCCCGGACAAATTTAAAGTATGAAAATAAACAAAGGGCAATAACTCAAAAAATAAGAAATGCAGAGTACCTGTTCTTGTGCACTGCACTTCTTCTTAATGAGACCTATCATCCTATTAAGTTTCAAGTCCATGGCTTTTATACATTAGGAGAAATGGCCCGGACAAAAATAAGTATGAAAATAAACAAAGGGCAATAACTCAAAAATAAGGAAGTGCAGAGTACCGGTTCTTGTGCACTGCACTTCTTCTTAATGAGATCTATCATTCCTATGAAGTTTCAAGTCCATAGCTTTATACTTAAGGAGAAATGGCCTGGACAAATTTAAAGTATGAAAATAAACAAAGGGCAATAACTCAAAAAATAAGAAATGCAGAGTACCTGTTCTTGTGCACTGCACTTCTTCTTAATGAGACCTATCATCCTATTAAGTTTCAAGTCCATGGCTTTTATACATTAGGAGAAATGGCCCGGACAAAAATAAAGTATGAAAATTAACAAAGGGCAATAACTCAAAAATAAGGAAGTGCAGAGTACCGGTTCTTGTGCACTGCACTTCTTCTTAATGAGATCTATCATCCTATGAAGTTTCAAGTCCATAGCTTTTTTAGTTGAAGAGAAATGGCCCGGACAAAATTAAAGTATGAAAATTAACAAAGGGCAATAACTCAAAAAAAAAGAACTGCAGAGTACCGGTCCTTGTGCACTGCACTTTGGGTTATTGAAAGAAGCATGCATACCAAGTTTGAACTCAATCAGACTTATAGTGACTGAGTTATGCTCCGGACAAGCTTTAGGGGACGCCGACAACGACACAGACGCCGCCGCCGCCAACAAAAGTAACTCCTATATGTCACCTTTTCAAGGCGACACAAAAACCAAACAGTAGCAGGCCTATGCTACTTAGTAAATGTGGGGCAATCTCGTCAAAATCTTATGTTAACCCTTATATTGTTAGATTTGTGAAATTAGGATAAATTGTCCTGCTTAAAATTTGGAACAGTCCATTTTAAGTCTTGAGATTACAATATGAAAATACAACAAGAGCACCGCTAGGCGGAGCATTATATGCCCAAAAGTGTTTTTTTTTTAGTAAGGATGAAGCATTTGTAAGACATGGAATTCGCTGTTCATCCTATAAAATTTTACAGCTGTAGGTTGATTAATACTTAAGTTATTAATAATGACCTTAACCTTTGACCTTGTGACCCCAAAATCAATAGGGGTCTTCTACCTTATATGGACAATCATCCTAAGAAGTTTGAATATTTGTGGGCCAATTGGAACTTTAATTATGCTCTAGAAACTGTTTTCAGTATTAAGGTAAAAGTGACTTTGATCTTGTGACCCAAAATCAATAGGGGTCTTCTACCCAATATGGATAATCATCCTATGAAGTTTGAATATTGTGGGCCAAATGGAACTTACGTTATGCTCCGGAAAACTGTTTTTGGTTTTAAGGTAATTGTGACCTTTGACCTTTGACCTAGTGACCCCAAATCAATAGGGGTCTTTTGCCCAATATGGACAATCATCCTATGAAGTTTGAATATTGTGGGCCAAATGGAACTTAAGTTATGCTCCAGAAACTGTTTTCAGTTTTAAGGATAAAGAGACCTTGACCCTTGACCTTTTGACCCCAAAATCAATAGGGGTCTTCTACCCAATATGGACAATCATCCTATGAAGTTTGAACACTGTGGGCCAAATGGAACTTAAGTTATGCTCTAGAAACTGTTTCCAGTATCAAGGATATAGTGACCTTGACCTTTGACCTTGTGACCCCAAAATCAATAGGGGTCTTCTATCCAATATGGACAATCATCCTATCACGTGACATGAGATAGTGAAGCACGGTGAAATTTCGCTCGGTGAAAACTCGGTTATTTTTCCAATTCTAGTGATTATTTGGACCTTTATTCATATATATTGGTGCTTATATTATTTAATCTGGTAGTGACTAAACAGAAATGGAAAAACAGCTGAAGAATTCGACCTCTAAGAGTGATTTTGCACAGGGTTCAGCAAAAACACGCGGTAATAATGGCGGTAATGGCGGTAATCGTGAAGGTCAGACTGACTTAGGATTTACCCAGGTGAAGAAACAGAGTAAAAAGAGACAAAGACATTCAACAGGTGGTACATACGAATCTTTTGATAGTACCCCTGATAGTTCAAACAAACTTAGCAATGTGTCCACTAAAGATTTCAAGCTTTTGTCCACAGACGATAAATTAGTCACTCTTTTTGAAATGCTTACATGCACGAACAATTTTAAATACACGAGTAAACAATGCTGAAATGTCTATACAATCAATTCAACAAGAAAACGACTCTACAAAGGTACGTTTGAAAACACTTTGAGTATCGTAGCATTGATGCAGAAGCTAGAAGTAGGCGGAATAACTTAATTTTCCGTGGAATACACGAGACACAACCAACGGAAGATTGTTATGAACTTATAAAAGCTTTTCTGAAAGACAACCTACATATTGACTCCCGAGAGTATTTGTATACAACGCGCGCACCGACTCGGCGCGTCAGCTTATGGCAAATATAGGCCAATTATAGTCTGTTTCAGAGATTGTCGGGATGTGGAAAATATTCTTTCCAGTGCTTACAAACTAAAAGGTAAAAACAATTTAGGAATCAATAGAGACTACCCAAATGAAATAGTTCAGGCCAGATCTCGTATTTGGCCTAAATATAAAGAGATGAAAGCAAAATATCCACCACGATCTGTTTTCATTGGTTATCCTGCCAAACTCATTGCAAACAAGAAATTAATTTGTGACGAATTCCCTGACTGGGAAAGAAGTCTTAGGTCAACCCTAGACATACATGTACAACAACTTTGCAAGAAGAAGAAAAACCTCTCATTTTGGGACACTTTTACAAAATAGGAAACCCTGAAATACCTACTCAAAACAAG